CGGCGCGTGCGCTGCCTCAGCAGCGTTCCGCGCGGCGGCGTTGCGGGCTCGCCGCGTGCTGCTCGCGTTCCGCGCGGCGGCGTTGCAGCTCTGCGCGGCGAAACGCGACTTCAGCCTGCAGAGGAGGGGCCTGGCGCGCTGGGAGCCTGTGCTCTGCCCGCGGCGCTGCTGCCGGCCAGAGCCTCCCTGGGCAGCACAGCTGCCAGCCCACACAACATGACTCTGTTTCGTGCTTTACAGCGGTTCTGTTCTTGGCATTTGTTGCCATGCATTTGTCCCTGTTAACAGGTGAAAGCTTTCTTGCTTTTTCTTTTTTTCTTTTTTTTCTCCTTTTTGTGTTATTCTAAAGAATGAGTATACTTTCTGAGATTGTGCCCAGGACCAGTTCCTCAGGACCTTTCGCAGTCTGGTAATTACATTTTAGAACAACCTTCTCTCCGAGTTGAGTTTACGTTTTGTGTGAATGCCTGTAAATATATATTTAGTTGAAACCTGTTCTTCATGACATGATGTGAGATCTTAAGTGATTCTTTTGTCTAAAAAATCAGGTATTGGACAAGCCTAATGTGATGTTTTTGGTTAGCCATACTGCCTTTTATCCAATTTTTTTTTTTTTATAAAAGAACCTCTTTCACAATGTGTTGTAACAAAGCTTTGTCTTCAAACTTTATTTTAAAATTCTGTATGTATAGAGGTCAGACTACTGGACTTCTGTTATTTTTTTCTTCTCAAATGTAGGTTATGTAGCTTGTTATTTTTCAGTTATGTAGTACTGCTCCTGATTCCATGGGTTTATAAAGTGTTTTTGTATTTTCAATTTAATGTTTGTTTTAGTGTAACTTAAGTGTATGTCTCAAAAAATAGATACCAGTGCTGTTTTAAAAGGGAGAGTATTCTAAAGGAGTTTGTTCACATGGCTTGAAAAATGGGTTTCTGCCGTGTCAGTAAGACTCATGGGTAATGACAAAGACAGAAGCTATCCAGGCAAGCAAACCCACAAAGCTGCTGTTTTAAAGAAAAAAGCAGAACAGCAGTATAAATCCGAAAGTATTTGTGATCCACGTTGTTCATGCTGAAGTCAGTGTGCAGACTTCTTCAGCTTGCCAGCCCAGCGACATGTGTGGGGCAGGGAAAAGGGCTATGAAGGAGTTTCTTCGCAGAAGTATGGGTTTGGAAACAAAGCCCTTTCTCAGGGGAGACGTGTGGTCAGCTAAAACGCTGTGGTGTGGTCCTCAGTTCAGATTTCAGCTGGAAGGAGCGGGTAGCCTCTCTCAAGTCTCCCTAGATAAAGGCCATCCCCCCTGGGTGGGTGGCTCTCAAACTCTGCCTAAGTGGATTTGACAGCAGCAGCACAGTTTGGTTTCTCGAGTTCAGTTTCACTATCTCTTGCAATGCAAATGACTTTGAATGGAAATGGAAAATATCTTACTCAAAGCACACAGAAAGGTACTGTATATATGAACAATGCTGAAATATATGGGACAATTGAAAAAAAAGTGAAGCTGTTATATATGAAGACATCATCTGTAGGCTGTGCCTGAGCCACAGATAACTAGTAGCTGAAGAGAATTTGGAACAATTTTGCTATGTGGTTATGCTTTTCTTGTAGCCTTTCAGAGGCATTTGCTTCTGACTCTTCTTGGAGGGAGGAGGGTCATGGGTGTGAACATCCCTATGTACAGAAACACAAAAGGCATAGTTCAAACATAAAATTAAGAATCCCTTTATGACTCAGTTTTAATTGAGCTGCAGTTTTTACTGTGACGGCAGTCAACGCTCTGGAGTTGCTTGCAGACTTGGGAAGGGGACAGTATTTGGCATTTTGCTTGCACTTTGGAACTTACATATTCCTTACATAGAGATAAGAAAGCTTTCTATGGAAGCTAAAAGTCATTACTTTAAGAGGGCTGCTTAATCTTGTTATTAGTATGGGAAATGGAATAGTAATTTCCTTTGTCTTTTTTTTTTTTTTTTTTTTTAAGTGATCCGCTCCAACATGATCTACTTGCAAATACGTAAGTGTAATTAATGTTCATGTTAATTGTTTCGAAAATCATGGAGCTGCTTATTGCATATAGGTTTCTTGATTGTTTTTCATATGTAACTGACATAATGCGGCATATTTTTACAAGACTTCATTATCTTTATTGTATTGTAATGTTTGATATTCTCTGATTAAAAGTAGAAGGCCTTCTAAAAAAGAATGGGGCAAAGGCGAAGAAGGAACATTCTTAATCAGCTTATGACATTAACAATTAATATTATAAAATATGTCAGTTCTTACGATGGGTTCAGGAGAAAGTACCAACTACAACTTGGTTTTCATGTGCCTTCTTGTATGTAGTTGCATTTCTCTGTAGCATTGCATTTATATTATTTGGTCCACAAATATACATACTGGTTCCCAAAGCTGTAAAACTGCCACTGTAAAATATTTCAGAATACTCTTTTGAATTTTCCAGAGATGAGAAGACTGATAGCTCAAATGATTCTGGAGAAGCCAGTAAAGCGGCAGAGATGCCCACACAGAGAAGAAAACGGATTTCTACTCTGCCCAATCTTGCAAAACCCAGAGCTGGACCTTCATCTGCACAACGTTCCTCTTCAAAACCGCAGAGGCGAGCAGTTTCTCAGGCTCTTGTTGGAAGTGCTTCCCTTCAGAAGGATTCCTCTCCATTAGAAAAGACTAATGTGGAAAGTTCTCCAAAGTCTCCCATATTGCCTGAAAAGAAAACGCCTGTGCCACAAGTGCCACAGTTCTCTCCATTAAAAAGAACAGCTATCAAAGAACCAAATGTGGGTGTAGCAGCTCAGAAAAATGATGATACCCTGCAGAAGAATGTATCTTCCCCACTCAAGGAAAGACCGACACAAGATAGATCAGTGACACAAGAGGAAAAGCTACCCACAAAACCCACCCCTATAAAAGGGCAACGAATATTTTCTGACCGTGAAAGGATCCTCAAAGCTCGGAAGTTAAGAGAAATGCTTAAAGAAGAGCTGAAGAAGGAGCGTCTGGTAGGCCTCTGTGGTGTTTAAAAAATTTTTTTTTTTTTTTTTTTTTAATCTGAGACCTGCTAATAAATGATGGTCAGCATTCCAATTTAAATAACTTTACAGCTGGCAAATGCAACAGAGAAGTGTGCTGTAAGAAACCTGAGGTTTGGGATTCCTCATAGTTTTTTGACTTAATCATTGACTAAGTTCTGGGATCTCACTTCTCACTGCCTAGAGTATTGAATTTCTGTAAGAGTTTAAAATACTTAGGGGTTGCTAATGTTATCTCTGACAAATGGACACTTGCAAGATAAAATTACTTAACTGATTGAGAGGGAAAAGACAAACAAACAAAAAACCTACATCCTAAATAAAAACTATTTATTAAGTAAAAAGTATTTGTAAGGCGAGCTCATTTGTTTTATTTTCACACAGAAACAGTTAAAACACAGGCCTCCAGTAATTGAAGGACGTTCTCCACCAGATCGGTCCAAAATGACTATGAGAGACCTGATATACTATCTGCCAGAAAACAATCCTATGAAGTAAGTATGATTCCCCCGACTTAGATCAAATGATTTTTTTAATCGCCAATTTAATATCTGCATTAGCAACATAAACTTAGAAACATTTTCACACTTACTCAGCTTTTGTACAAAAGCTGAGTATAGAGTTTATGAAAAAATATAACTATTTCCCTGATTAAATATTAAAGAAAGGTGTCCCCACTAATGGTTTATCTCTGAACAAACAATTTCAAATGCAGATTAACATTAAGTCTGTGTGTGTGTATGTTTTATTTTTATATACAACTTCAACTTCATCAGTTATGGATACTTGGGATGTTAGGTCACTAAATCTAGCTGGCTCTGAGATGCAAGTGTTTCTCCTTCCCGCAGGCTGCTGAAGTGCAGCTGGGTGTGCTTGAAGACCCAGGAGGTCTCTCTCCCAGCTGGATGGATGCAGCTGATGCTGGTCCTGTGAGCAGGTTTGGCCAGTGGCAGGGTTGAGAGTGTATCCCAGGTAGAGCACATTCCCACAACTGGCCATGCGGACAACCGGACAGAGCAGTGCCTTTACTTGCAACCACCACCAACATGAATATAAATACAGCAGCCCTGTCCTTTTCGTCCTCTCTCTCTGCTCTGGATTGAAGTTCAGGAGTGAACGCACGAGCACCCCTCACTCTAGATTTGTAAGCACACTTGCAGTGACAGATTCCTTAAATTCAGCATGACTTCCAGTCCCGTAAAAATACCTGGACTGTGAGCTCCCTGGCCCGGTTTGTGGTTTCCTCTTATCTGTTGGTTCAAGTAACTAGCAGGTACTGGTTGGTTACTTTGGTTTGGTGTTTGCTAGCAAACCAGATGCATCTGGTCTTGCCCTTGTCTTGTGATCACTGCCACAGTCATGGATCCTTCTGATATTAGTATGGGCTTTCAGTATCCCTAATATTCATTTCCAGATCTAGGGCCCTTACCAAGCAGCTGATTCAAATCTTTAGTCTTTTTAGCTTGATATTTGCTAGCAAAGTGCATATATACACATGCACACAAGGTTAGTTTTGCTAGAAAAATGTTAACATAGGCAGGCTTTGCAGTTGGTAGCGCTTAGGTTTCCACACCCCCTGGCCTCTGCACTTGCTAGCACATAGACTGGAGGCCATGTGACCTGCAGCGCCTTCTCTAGCTGCTGGCACTTGGACCTTTCAACCCTGTATATTACACACCCTACACTAGCCAGGTCTTGGCGTTTGGACATCTGGTCTGTGATCTCTGTGTTTGTTGGCAGCTAGACCTACAGGCCCAGTGACCTGCAGCATCTTTTCCAGTTGCTGGCATGTAGGCTCTGCTTCCCTCACACAGAGAGTAGCAAATACACAGAAAATGGGATAGAGTGCAGTGGTCAGTCAGCAGGGCTTATTCAGATTGCATACTGACTGGCAGCCTGCTTTGAGGTAACTGCCTAAGTTATGCCTTTCCTTTCTCTTTTCCTTTGGATGTTGCTCTCCATCCATACTGATATTTCCCATAAATATCTTCTGATAAATTTAATGTAGTCTCACAAGGCTGTTCTCATACACAGTAAATTTCTCAGAATCTTGAAGACCCTCAAGTATTCCATAACACTTTATGATAACCATGTTTCTCCATTTTTATCAATTATGTAGTTCAGATCGATCCTCTTCAAGACTATGCCCAAGTAGTTCCTTTAGTAGTCAGTCAGTGAGTGGTTGAGGAGTTCTGGTGTTTGTTGTTCTGTTATTAACTGCTCCTTAATGTTTGCATGTCTGTTTTATTTACGGATTTCCTTGTTATTTGTTATTTCTTCTACACTGAATAGTGTTAACCTACTGAACCATATGCTCTCACATTCCACATGCTCTTAGGATGGATATATCCATATACCTCTAAACCTGGCTCTTGTCGACCATGATAATGTTATTCAGTAGTGATTCTCGGGGCAGTATATGCCCTGAAGGTATTGGCTCTGTAAATCAGTTTGGAATGGTGTGGATGATACAGGAGGTGGTCCAAAATCTTTGGAATGAAAACCTGATAAGCAGCTATAAAAAAAAAAAACTTAGTTTAGCTATTCTGAAAAGTATGGTGCTTGTTGGATGGACCAGGATTTTCATGTTCACAGAACTTGCTAATCAGTGCAAAATGCAGACACTTGTCTGTAGTAGCACAGTTGTACCCTCAACTTATGAGCTTATGATGCAAGGTAGAAGGTGCTTGTTTTTCAGTAAGCTGTTGGCTGCTCTTCATCCTCACCTGCTTGTGATAAGGTAGTTTGAACTCCCAGTGGAAAGCACTGTGAACATTAGTCAGCAGTGAATCACCTGATGATCATCATCATAGTCTTATGGATCACTGCTTGAAATCTCTTGTTTTGTCCTCTTGATATGCCTTGAACAATTAAAGGGTTATACAAAATCCAGCAAAATTCATTAAACAATCATGTTTGTCCAATTAGATCAAGTCCAGACATGGTACAAAGAACATAAAATAATATGAAAAGTGTGTGGTTTTTTTTGTTATCCATTAAAAGCAAGTTTGAGAGTTTGTGCTTTATTAGATGAAAGCAGAAATGTGTCTGTACAAACTTTCATCTTTAGTGTTTTACAAAATTTTAGGTCTTCTCTGGCAGAGGAAAAGAGAACAGAAAAAAATACTGCATTGGGTCAAATGAAAGAGTAAGTCTTGTTCATTGGGGTATTTAGAGTCAAAAATTTGGTTTTTGTCAGAAAACAACATGCTGTAATGTATGTTGTGATATTAATTTAAGTTTTTGCTCTTTTTGCTTATTGTTTCAACATTATAATCCTTACTTAAAGTAAATGTAAAGCAATTTGGGAGGGGAATGTGGTTAAAAACCGTTTTGTTTCAATATTATGTTTCTGGGTCATTTTTCTGTGGTGCAATGGAATGAGCAGCAGAGTTCAGGGTCCTTTTTAATTACAGTAGTGGGCTGTGTTGCTGAGTCGCTCATTAGATCATTGAGTATCTGGTGTACTGAGCAGTAAGTTTTTGATTGATTTCTTAATTGTAGACAGGAAGAGAAAAATACTCTTGATCATGAAGAGGAAGATGAGGAGGAAGAAGCAGAGAATGGAGAGGAGAGTCAGGATGGTCCACTTCTAGTTCCTCGAGTGAAAGTAGCAGAAGATGGCTCAATTATTCTGGATGAAGAAAGGTACCAGATTCTGCAATCCAACTAGTAGACAATATATACTGGACTGCTGCTTGGTTTGTGGATAAAGAATAGTTATCTTGAACAAGGACAAACGAGAATGTTTTGATGATTAGGATAGCCAAGCTATCCTAATTTAGAAAGCAATGCAAATATATGATAAAATATGACCACAATTATCTACATCACCACTATAGTGATAATTCTCATGATAGATAATTCTCATATTTTCTATCAGAAATGTATTTTTGGAGAAAGATGGAGAGAAGATGATGCAATGTTTTATTCAAGTGAATGAATAGTGAATATTTATCAAACTCCCAGATGTCTTTTATTTACTTCCCTTCTTTGTCGTACTTGCGTGAGTTTGGTCATTGCTATCTGGGTGTCAGCATGTTATTTGCTGCAGCTTTCTATCTTGAACCTTGCTGCCCTGCTCAAGTGTCAGTGTTTTCAGTAACTTTGCATAGAGTACTATGACCATTTGAAAATACTAAAGTATCGAAACTAAAAATCTGAATAGTTCACTAATAAACGTCAACAATATGTCCTGTTAGTAATATTTTCAGGAGTATTTAAGTGTCTTTTGGTTCGCTGTTCCAGTTTAACTGTAGAAGTACTAAGGACAAAAGGTCCATGTGTTGTAGAAGAAAATGATCCCATATTTGAACGTGGCTCTACAACTACATATTCCAGTTTCAGGAAAAGTTTTTATACAAAACCATGGTCAAATAAAGGTGAGCATATTTTTGAGTATATTATGCTGAAGTCCCAGCTTTATAAGAAAATATTGCTATTATTTCAGAATTTATCTTCCTGAATGGAGAATGAGCAAGGTTGTTTGTGTATGTACACAAATGTATGTGTGTGTATAAAAAGATGCTTTATTCAAACATGCTTTTGCAGAAATGGGTAGTGTTAGTAAATCTGATCCCCACTAGGCGATGGGAAATGCTGGTTACTTATCTAAGTAATTTCTTAATGGACATGTTCTCTATCAGAGAATGGATGTATGAAAATTGGAGAGTATATAATTATATTGATTAGTGTGATACTGCTTTGTGTTATGTTTCTCATTAATGTTGGGAAGATTTGTCATGTGATAAAAGTTGAATTTTTTTTCATCAACTACATAACTTTAAATTTTGCTGGGATTCAATTCAATTCAATTTGCAGCCTTGTTAGATATCCTAATGGTTGATTGTAATCATAATTTATCTGATTCTGTAGATGAGAAAATGGTCCCTTCTCTGAGTTATCTGTTTAGTTGTATTAATAATTTGCAACTGTTCTATTTTAGATAGTAAGAGGGACAATCACTTCTAAAGTACTTCTAAATATTGTCTATCCTTTTTTTTTTTCTCCCAGAGACGGACATGTTTTTTTTAGCTATCAGTATGGTAGGAACAGACTTCTCTTTGATTGGGCAGCTGTTTCCTCATCGAGCTAGAGCAGAAATTAAGGTAAAAATTAAAGCATTCAAATAATTAAACATCTATTTTCACTGTTCTGTTTCAGTTTTTTATTCTCGTTATTCCTAGTAGTTGATAATTTTGATGCTAATTGGCTCTGAAGTAATGCTTTTAATAACAATTTAAAATATGAATATGCTGGGTTGCATTCTGATCACTGTATTTAACAAGCAGATATAGCTAATATTGCTTTTATTTTAATTGGAAAATGCTGATAGTGCGTGATGTTTGAGATTCTTTTGTGTTACCTCTTTCTGGTATCTTGTTAGTAACTTCTATAATTCAACCTCTTCCTGCACTGGACATAATGAGGATGGATGGAAGATGTTGCAAAATAACCAAAAATAAGCTAGTTATACTTACTGCTGACAGAAAACAAATTTTAATTGTCTGTGTAAAAAATAATGCCAAATTTTGTGTTCTATGAATATGCTTGTAACATTTAACAACTTCAATTCCTAGAAAAATGTATTGTTATAAAATAGTTTAAAAACTTTGTCTTGTTCTGTGTTGTGCAAACAGCTATATGGTTGCATTTCTTGCTTATTTAAAGATAAACCTAACTTTTATTTTTAGAATAAGTTCAAACGTGAGGAAAAAGCAAATGGATGGAGGATAGACAAAGCTTTCAGTAAGTAAAGAAAACACCCCACCTCTCAACAAATCATTTAGATGGAGGCATCTTTCATCATTGTCATTTTTGTGCTCTGCCTTACTTGAGTAATTTTATGAAAATCTTTACTCTTAAATGAATTTAGAAATTAGGCACTCTCAAGGTTTTTTATAGTATGATTCACAAATAAGATCTTTAGGTTTAATTTTCAACTTCGTATTTGTCCATAAACGAGATTAATATAAACTTTCAACTGAGGATTATTGTGCTTCACTGGAATTAAGAGCAGAGTTACTAATTGTAAACTGCTTTGAGGATCTTTTAAGTGCTTTATGTTTTTTGAAGGGGCCATGTGAGTCTTATGTTAGCACATTAATTCATTGTTTGCTGCTATGATACAGTTTATGTATTTGTCACTGCTAAATATTGCAGCCTTTCTGCAGTCTGTTTTTTTAAAAAAAAACAAGCTGCCACAATTTTTTTACGTCGCGTCTATCTAGTTTCTGCCAAGACATATTCAGAAAGGAATCTGTTTAAATATGTAATTGTTGATTTTTAATACAAAGTGTAATAGTGATTATTTTACAAAAGCATAATTTTGGCAAGATTATCAGCTACAAAGTCTTTTGTATTTCTTTGTTTTAACTGGACAGAAGAAAAGCGGCCCTTTGATTTTGAGTTCTTTTCTCAGCTGCTTGAGAAGGTCTTGGCTGATGAGGAAAAGAGAAAGCAAAAGACAGTTAAAAGCCAGAAGCCAAAAGAAAAGAGACCGTCAAGGACTCGGAAGAAACCAAAAGGTACTTCGAAAGAATGCTCGAGATACCATCATAGAGTGGTGATGTTAATGTTGCTTCAGACATATATCACTAACAAAGTAAAAATCACATAGGGGAGCTCTTTCTCTCCTGTTGTGAACAGGGCAAGAAAATTCTGGCTTTGTAGCATTATTCTTTTTCAGATGTAGTTCACTTGTGTGCAGGATGGTAATAATTGGTTTCTTGAGGCACATTTTCTGTAGGCCACTTATTGTTCTTCCAGAGTACAAAGCACTGGACTGCTAGAAGGGTGTTTTTAATTTAATAGTTAATAAATGTCTTAGAGTAGCTGGTGAACTCACTTTTTAGCATCTTTGGGCTGAAGCTTTTTTTTTGGCACACTGTTTAAATTCTCATTTAAATTTTTAGTTTTATAATAAATTTTTATTTTGTGATGCTGTTTCTCTGTTAGCTACATTTTGACTCCTGAAGTCTGTTGCAGTAAATCTATGCTGAAGTTTTTCATTTTAATCAGCGACTGACTTCTCACGGACCTACTTGTATGCCTAATAGTGTGTCAGCAGTGATTTATGCATTCACAAGATTTTCGTTTTGAAAATATCTGTCAACGATATTTCCAAAAATAGCATCTTGGGGATTTATGGCTCCTAATACTTCATCAGCCTGTTAATTAGGAACTATACTGTCTCGATAGAGAAAGCTGCCAGTTCAGAAGCTGCTAGTGATCAAGATAATTCTCAGAAAGCCAGAGTTTCTGATGTAGAAACAGAAGCAGATGCTGTGATGGCTGAGAAGGAGAATGAAGAATCTTTGGGCGTTTCTGAACGGACAGAAGAACAGGCTACCATAGAGCCAGCATCAGCCAAAAAGAAAAGAAAAAGGAGGAAAAAAGATGATCCAGAACAGGAAGTGGAGAATATTCCGGAAGAGTTGTCATCAAATACTGCTGTCGAAAGAAAATCCTCAAAGAAAAGTAAGAGACGAAAATGTTCACTGCTCACCTGCAAATGTTCAAATATACAGTCTTTATGTGAAGACACTGAGGTCTTAAAAATGAGAATTGGGGGGTTTGTTTTGTTACTGATCTACCTTGAAAGGTACAGAGCTGTGCCTTTCAAGAAGTTAACTTTCATGCTAAATCTGTATGTTGTGCTTTATTTTAGCTGAGAACAGTCATCTTAAACATTAATTATGTAGTTTCCACCAGAGTTTTCTTTGTTCTTTATTAAATCTTGCTTCACTGAAGCTGGTATGTGAGAATTAGAATTTTGTACTGTTAGCCAGAATGTCCAAACTGATTTCATTCCTGTTTATTAGTGGGAGAAAGTTCAGTATGTGACACAAATTGTCATGGTCCTACTACCTTGGGAGAAGTGGATGGTGTTACTGAAGAAAAGCAAGATCAGACTCCTGTCATAGAGGAGGAGAGATCAGAGTCCTGTTTACCAGTGGATGACGTAACTAAAAGTGATTTCCATTTATACAGGTAACCCTTTTTTTTGTGATAGAAAGCTTAGGCAAAATAAATAACATTTTTTTTTTTTTTGAATTTATTGAATATGTTGATTCTTACCATCATGTTAATTGATGTAGATGGGTAGAATTTTTAGATTCTTTGATCAGAGATGTTGTGTCCTGGAATATTTTAGTCGTTTCCTTTCAATTTACAGTCTCAGTGTATTCCCTGCCCTGATACCCTCCTTGTAACTCAGTTTACATCAATGTTAAAATCCCATCAACATTACTTTCTTCTTGTGGAGGTGGGGGAGGAGGAAGTTGCTTGAAGTTTGGCTTATCCTAAACCTCGTCTTAAAACATTTAACCGTACTACTACTATTTCTCTCAAAAGAGTGTTTGGTAATGTTGCTTGGAATTTATTAATACAGGTTTCCTCATGAAAAAGGAAAATTGCTTAGATTTTACTTGTGCTGAACTTGCATCTTGGGTTGCGAGGCAAGATTTTAGTCTTCATTTGGGGCATTCTTTTACTAGAAAATATGTGAATATTCGTGTATTAGAAGTTGTTTTTTTAAATATATGAAAGGGGTAAATCTAAAAACTTATTGTGAAGCTGTCTGTAGTGCTTCAGAGTTTTGCATATTAAGTGCTCCGTATGCTTATATTGTAATTGTTTGTTTGCTGTTTTCATACAGTTTTCTTGAAACATTTATGTTTCATCCCTCACAGGAAGTATATGGAAGAGCAGTAATTCTTGTCTTTCAACTCGATGTAGATTGTTATGGAAGATCAGGGAAATTATTTTGTGTATGGTAACATCTGTTTATAGGCCTTTATCTAGTCTAGAATATTCAGATGGTATTTTTACCTTTCCTTGTAATGGTATTGCAAAAGTACAGAGATGTTTTTAAAGCTCATGTCATGGGGATGTCACTAAAAGTTATGGGTGTTTTAGAGAACCTGACAAACATCTGATCTATAGAATTTGCAAACTGCTGTAAATCTAAATTTTACTGTTCAACTTAATCTGTAAACAATATTATTTTATTTACATTTTCACATGTTTTTATTGATTTCAGCTTTCAGGATGGCAGTGATGGTGTGCTAGAGACAGAATCTGATAAGCTGGGTCCTGGAGATGAAGCACCTCAGGAAAGCCAGCTCTCAAAGTTCCCGCTTTCAAAGATTACAAACAAGGAAAGACAATCTGAAGAAACTGTGGAAGCCAAGGTATTTTTATTTTTTTAAAGTAATTCTATATTCTTAAGATCTTCCTGTTTACTCTTAGCAGTGTTTATGTAAAGCAGCTTTTTGATATGTTTTTGTAACTTTTTACCACTTGCTGAACAAAAGGCAAAATCAACAGAATTTAAATGCTATCAACTTAGTTGGCTTTAATGTTTTTTGTTTGCTTGTTTTGCTTTGTTACACTCAGCTTATTCAGAGAGCATCATCCTCGTGTTTGCCTTGTCTTATAGATTGTTTAAACATTTATTCAGTTTAATTACTCAAAATGGCAGCACTGTAATATCAAAAAATGAAACACTGTAATAGCAACAATGAAATTTGATATGCTGCCTTGGAGCAAGTTTCTGCTGTCCGGCGTGTACTAGTGTGATGCTGACAGCTGATTTGGGTGGGAAGAGTATGGGACTGTTGTCTCAAAGTGTAGGCCTCTGTATTGCCTCAGCTATGGCTGTTATGAGGTGTTTCAGGAAAAATGTAGTCAAGTAGAGCAAGACTAAATGACTTTTTCTTGGGTACCCTCTAACCAGTGCTGCGGCTCAGGAGCTTCTTGAGATTGCATCTAGCTTCTTTCATAGCCGTTGTTGGTCCTTTTATCCATCACTTTGTCTAGCTGGTGTTTTGGATCAATTTGTACTTCTGTCATCAACTGCATACTACACCTGAGAGTTTCCTGTTTTATGCACTGCATGAGAAAGTATATTCTTCAGCTTATTTTAAGCCTGCTGCCTGATAGTTTAATATGGTATCCTCCCAATATTATGTTCCCATTCATCTTCTCCAGTCTATTCTTGTTTTTATGGCTGTTTTATCCAACAGTATCTTTTCTTGTGTGTTCTAACATGGAAAAATGATCTTATGGATAAAGTCTGATGTACGTTTAGATTCTCTTTCCTAAAATATAAATTTAATTGCTTAATAGAAAGTAGAAAATAGAAATTAACTGCTTAATATCTTAATAAATACTGAGTGCTTGTAGTGAGAAGTGTTATAACAATGCATTCTCCTGATACTAGTTGATGTAATCATAAAAAATAATGAACTGAACAGAACAATCTGTCATATACATCATCAGAGCATAGTGAATTAGCTTGAAAATTCAGCTACTTCATTATGGCTGTTTGAAATAAGAAGGTCCTAAAACTTTCCAAACTTGATAATTTCAAAGGTGACTATTTTGTTGCTATTTTGGTCTACTATGGTTATTTTAACTTAAAACTTATGGAACACATTTACTGTCTTGCGGAGCTGAAGTAATAAGCATTTGTTTCCTTACTTAGAAAAAAAATGTGTGTGACTCATGTAAATCAGATGAAAAGGAGAGTACATCAGATGGTGATTTTCAACCTGAAATAATGTGAGTAGAAATATTTTTACCTTTCATTAGTACTTGAGCTAAATGTGCATTTACTTATTTTGAATACGAACTCTGTTTAATCATACTAGGATTAGACGGTAGAGCATGGTGACTTTTCTTCCTTATTCAAGAAGGATTTTTGGTAGAAATTTCGATTTCTGAGGAGTTATGCTTTGACAAAGCTTAGAATGTTACCTGGGAATGAGGAGGAAGACTTAACTAAGCTTAGAAGACTTAGGCCTTCTATGATCAGTGGCAGCAAGAGAGATTTTGCCATTTTGTTTGGGTATGTCAGTTATGAAAGTTGGCTAAAAATTGGACTTTGTTGATTTCTTTGAAACTAGCAGATGTTTGCCAAAGCTCATTACCTGCACACTCCACATGTTTAATGTATTCATACATTTGGACACACCTCTCTGGAAAGTATTCCATCTCTGTCTGACTGCTCTTCTATATGAAGTTAATCTTTGTTACTATTTTTTACAGTGATGTAGTAGTGTTCAATCCTTTTTATATGATCAGAGACTTAGAAGTCATAATATGATCCTTTAGAGGTGATTTAGAGATAGTTTTCTGGTTTGCATTCAGTTAGCAGCACTTTGAAATGTGAAGTTCCTTCTCCTTCCCTTATTGAATGATAAGTCACTTCCGTAGTAAAGATTGTCACAGTTTTATTTGCTCTGTGCTAGGAAATAGGAAAGGTGGTAGTTCCCATACTGAAGATTATTGATTGTCTTATTACTTAATTGGCTCCAGTAAAAAGTGTTGGGACTTCAGAAAACTCTATTGGACTTGTTAAGGATGCAGAGATTGTAAGTGCTTCCCATTTTTCAAGAATATTTGGGTTGTTGGCAGTGGGACAGAGTATGAAAACAGCAGATCGTATTTTTGTGAACTGGATAGCCCTGAAAGAGAAGGGACAGGAAAGGGAGACAGGATGTGTGAACTAAATCAGTTGTACTTCAGAAGCAGCTTTCTAGTGCTTCAAGTTTTAATTTCTGTTGAAATCAGTTGGCCTGTTTTCAGTACCTTCAATTCTGAATCCTCAGGGAAAAGAGGTATTCCTGTGTAGCAGCACTTCCTTCTGGTATTTTAGAGTTGGATTCCACTGAAAGCCAGCATAGTTATTGAGTTTTACTTGAGATTCTCTCCTTTAAGTAATCTAGTAAACTGACAAAAGCTGTATCTTTATTACTTATTCAGTCCATGCTGCTCTTTAAGTACTTCGTGGACCAAATGAAACATTTATGTCATTACCAGAGAAAAAAAAAATTCCCTCTTTTTTTATCTCTTAAGTGAAACTGAAAGGCCACCACTCAAAGGATGCTTTCAAAGACCTAAGCCAAATTTAGCAAGATCACCTGGAAGGAGAGAAGCAGCAACCCAAGAAAAACTGGAGGCCAGGAATTCTTCTCCAAACCTTGTGAATAAAGTCGAGAAGGTTAGAAGAAACGTTGTTTAATGTGCTGTGCACTTTAATATGGGTTCTGAGGATTGTCTTTGAGGCATCTGTGCATTTGTCCAAGAATATTTCTTGTTTTGATTTCAGTGCACTTTGAAAGGCAGTGGAAGTAATAGAAACGAAATCACAGAAGTGGAGAACATAGGTTTGGGAACAAAATCAGAGTAAGTATTAAGATAGATTTTCCACTCTACTAGTTTTAACTTACAACTTTTACTAAAGTGGGTGCAAATCTTTCCAAAGTCAACTCAATATAAGATTAATTTCCAGAAAAGAAAGCTCTGCAAGTTGATGAGTACTATGAGGCTTGATATTAGGGAATAAATAACCTGTTGTGAATCCTTTGCTAATCTCTTGTGTAGAGAACCTGAAAAAAATGTAATTGCAAAGACCGTAGTTAGAGGATGTCGACAGCGTTTTAAGCCAAACATTGCAAGAGCATCTGGAAAGAAAGAAGAGCCCGGAAAAGATTCAGAAAAAGATAAAATGTTCCACCCAGAGCCTCAACGAGAAACTGAAAAGGTATTTAATTGAATGCGGTAACTGAAAATGTGTGTAGCTTAAAAACAAAAACCACCCTGCTTACAGGGTTAGTGGCAACACTGTCTTCCCCCCCCCTCCCCCCTGCAATCTGATCAGAAATCACCTGCCTACTTAATTTTCAGTGACAGTGTGATATTGCTTAGAGGATTCAGCTAAGCTGGAAGTTTTTCACGCATATAGTAGATGCCAATAATATCTCATGTTCTGCACCACATAAAAGCGTGTGTGTTTGTTCTATATTTTATTGCGCCTTTTCTGGCTGATATGAAAGTTACCTGGTGAATCTTCTATATCTGTCATAGTGTCATCCTATTTCAAATCCTATTTTGGACAGTTATGTGGCCTGTTAGGTAATCCTGTACTTGATATATATAAAAGAATTAATGTCTTAACGTTTTATTTGTGTTCAGGTTACTGACCAAACTAATGAATGTGACACTACCAATGGAGAATCTTCAGGAAAACGTGATAAACCCTTGGAGACCATGTCTCAGTAAGTGTGTTAAAAGTGAGAAACAATGCACTGCTCTCTAGGTGTTTGCTATCCCTTTCACTCCTTTCACTTTTGGTAATATTATATAGAATGGTAGTTATAGAACTACAGGCAGCCAAACTCTCACCCCATGCTCAGCTCTGGAGTGATGCACAAAAAGAAAAGCAAAAAGCAAATGCAAATGCAAAAAAAAAAAAAAAAGAATACTAGTCCCTTTAAAACTAAAACAAGCCTTCTAAACTAGCTTTAATACTGAAATACATAATTTCAGTAGTGGAAAATTTTACTTATTTAAATAATAGGAATGATTGTTTGTTCTTAAACCATAATTAAGTGTCAGATGCCTGGGATAAGCGAGAAGAAAAACGTGTGGGCAGTTTAGTGCATATGCTAATTAAGAAATGTTTCCTGTTTTCTCTTCAGTGGAGAAATGGTAATTGTAGTGGAAATGCTCTGAGGTAGGAAAGGTTGTAAGATACATTCTTTTTATATTTAAAGGTGTGTAGTTGCAGAGGATGGAGGGAGGCAAACTGGGTTTTGATTTGGTAGAAAATATTTTAGCAGTTGTTATTTTCTTGAGCTGTGCTATGTAACTTGGTGCTCAGGGTGAATAGGCATAGAAACTGTTTGCTGGTTTTAATAACATGCTGCTGATATTTCATGTTAGCAAGATTATGGATACAGTTAACTGTATAGTCTCCGAATGTTTGTAACTTAACTCTTTGGATCCTTCATTAACCTAAGTTCATGTACCTCTAAGGCAGGTAGCTCTTCTTATTTTCCTATTATGCGTCAGAGATCTGTCTAGAGGCAGGTAGAAACATGAGAAGAACCTGGGGTGGGTTAGAAAAGGTCTATGTAAGTTGGTATTCTGTCTACTATTGGGAAAGAAAAACAGGGCAAACAAATGTTAATATCATAAATGCTCTTTCAGCCTCCAACAGATATACTTTACACTTCCAAGTTAGCAGTGAATAGCTCAGTTCTAAGTAAGTGTATGTTAAAAGGACTGGAGGACCAAAAGAGTGGAGAGAATATTGCTCTGTGCAACCCCTCCAACTTGCAGACATCGTACGTACTTAGGAATTATGTTTTTTTGTTTTGTTTTTCCCAGGTGCAGTGAAACTGCTGGTTTGGAAGAGGACAGCAAACAAACTGTGCTGAAACCAGCACTACTAAAGAGAGGTCGAATGCCAAGACCAAAACCTAATATAGGAAGAATTGCTGCAAGGCATGAAGTCCAAACCCAGAAAAAAGATCCTGAAGAGGAGAAAACAGAATGTGAAGAGGTTGAAAAGGGTGTGACTCACCCTAGGAGTGAAAAAAAGGATTCCTGCCTCAAAGATGTGAGTTCTCTTTTCTTGAGCAGTCGGAGGTGTTTGCAGTTGAAAGTATTCATTTAGGAGCGCTTTTTTTTTTCTTCAGTCCCCAAGTAGATGCCTTAGTAACAAACATACTTAGTAACAAACAAACACATACCACATTGTTCTTCCAGAATTATCTGAAATGTCATAGAATTTCCTAAAGCTTGCATTTAGATTCTGTTCTTCATGCAGAGAAATTGCATCCCACTTCCCTGTTGTGTTAGGGGTGATATCAGATATGGAGAGAGAAGTGCAGAGCAGAAAGGACATTCTTGGAAGAGAAGCCATTCAAATAGTATACATTAAAAAAAATAATCTAGTGATGTTAGTTATCACAGAAAATAAGATGTTTTTGAGCACTTTAATAGGAGTACTCTACCCCCCATTTTTTCCCCTCTGCTCTTTTAAGAGAGAGGTTTAGCATATCTTATTGTTTCTTAGAGTGAAATACATATTCCTTTTAGGATGTGGTGGATTCTGAAGACACTGAGCCATGCATTGTGATGTTAGAAGAGGATGTCTCTGCAGAGAAGATGGACACAATACATGCAAGCCAACATTCCCCCCAAAAATCCTTAGAAGCTGAAAGTTGGGAATGTGAAAAGGAATCTTCAGCTGTCTTGAATGGTGCTTCAGATTTTAATACACAGTAAGTTCATTTTGAGGAAGTTCAAATGGAGGATGATTTAAAAAAAATCTCCAAGTATTTTACATTTAACTCCAGCAGCTAAAATTTATATATATAAAGACATCATAGATATGCAACTTATTTTTAATTGAGACTTTACTAGAATAAAAAACACCTGTGAAAGCACTATTTTTTTCTGGTTTGGCATAAAATATTGAATGCAATTATTAAGTAAATATCATTTTTTTTTCTGATGGTCAGTTCCGGTATTGCAGGAACATTGTTTTAGGACTAACATAACGTGCATGTTAGTCCTAAAAATACACCCCTATGTGCTTATGTAAATCTCCAAGTATAGGGTTTTGATTTCCTCTTAATTTGTTGTTTTAAAGATATGGATTGTAAATCTCCTGTGTGATGTGATTAAATACAAAGAAGTGAATTTGTAAAACTCTTGTTGTGACTGAAAGTTGCAATTGTTCTGAAATTTTTAATTTTGTATTTGTTGTTAATCATTTACAAGATGCACAGATATTTGATTGGTGATGTTTTTCATTACCTTGGCTACTGCTCTAAGAAAGCTAAAACCTTTGTATTTGATTCCTATACTGGAGAGAATCATGTACAAGTATATCACGTATGACATGAGAGTCGCTGTTGTCCCTGCCTTTGATTGTTGTAGGAAGTCTGATCCTCAGAAGCAAGAGGAGAAAACCACTGTTTCATCAGCTCGGTTATTGAGGAGTCGATGCCAGAGACCAAAGCCAAACTTGGGCAAGATAACTGCTAGAAAGGATGTGCCGGATGTTACTAAAAGTGTATCCCAGACTGATACCCATCAGGAAGAAAATTTGACGCAATGTGATGATGAACGTAGCACCCTTCCTGATGTAAGGCTTTTCTTTTTTTTTTTTGCCCCCTCTAGTTCTAGCTAAGCCTTTGGGCTTTTGAAACTGAAGGGAATAGTCTTTTTTTTTTTTTTTTTTTGAAACATAGGTTAATCTTTCTTGAAACGATGTTGGTTGTTTTGTTGCTGTTGTTCTAAATAGAAACTCCTCTTTCTTCCACTTAATCATGTGTGAGGAATAGTAGCTTAAATCCACTGTGTATTTAGTTATGTATCCATATGTCTTTCTGACCTGAGGTGGCCTTTTAGAGAAGAAGTGAAGAAAGAAAAGTACTAATAAAGATAGCAAAGGAGAAATCTGGGTACCAGGCAGTTTACTTTAAAAGAAACAAGTATATGTTTTTCTTGGAAAGCCTGGGAAGTTATTAGTAAGCAGTTACTGTTTTGCAGAAATATATTAATATGATTAATACCGAATTTCATGAACATTATATGCCCTTTACAGTTTGAGTTAGCATCATGACTTTTTTCATGTGTCTTATTTTTTTTTTTTTTTTGTTTTTTTTTTTTTTTTTTTTTTTTTAGAAAACAGAAAAATATGAGATTCTGCAGTCATTAGAATCCTTGGGAAAGGAAAATCCTCGTGGCTCTCAGGAAGCTTCTGCAAGCCCAAGTTATCAGTCCCCGGAGATGCTTTTAAGATCAGAAGATGGTGAACTCAAGTTTTGTCCACCTGTAGATAATGCAAAAGAAGTATCAGCTACTGATGCAAGGTAGAGCCACTTCTGTTTCTTGACTGTAGCAATGAAGATGTGTTAAAAGGCAGTCGTTGTGCCAGCGGATTTCTAACTGTGAAAGAGAATAAAAATACCCAATGAGATGTCAGTTTTCATAGTTTCAGCATCAATTTTACTAAAATTCCAGTTATTTCTATGCTATGCATCAAATTAATGAGCATTCAGTTTTACAGCTAGTATTTTGTCAGAATTGGCTTCATCATATGAAACACCAGACATGTTCAGTTTGTGCAGAACAACGTTAGTTTGCTTTTCAGAGAAACAATGTGGAAGTTGCTTTTGTTTTACAATAATCAATGGACAGTAAGATAATGCCTCCAGTGAGTTACTTAATTCTGTTGTTAGACCATTCAGACCGGTGTTTTACGTATCTTGATGAAACAAAGATTTCTGTGAAAGAAAGAACTGTATTTTTACCTGTTTCTTTTAAAAATAGAGATATTTCTTACAGGTAAGTATTAGTGGCCTCTGTGTGTGTGTTTGCTTTTTTTTTTTTTTTTTTTTTTTTTTAATATGGAGCTTTTGTATTAAGTTTTCGTATTTTTCTATCTGTCTGACTTAGAGTTGACGGCAAAAATACTACTCAAGAAGAAAGCAAACTGACTCCTCTTCAACCTGCCCAGTTAGTGAGGGGCCGATCCCAGAGACACCAACCAAACTTCAGAAGGGCTATGGGAAGGAAGGAATTACAAACAGAAAGAAATGAGCAGGATAAAAAATCTCAAGCAGAGCAGTCGGTTTTGCAGAAAGATGAATTGGCCAACGCTGTGTCTGTTGTAAGTCTAAAGAATAATCTCTTTGTCTCCAAAAAATGCTTTTAAGTTGCGTGTTCTGTTTTATGAAAATATGTTAGAACACTTAAGAAGGATTCCTTGAAGCTGAAATGCCATATTGTATGGAACCCTGCCAAGCACCTGGTGTATTTAGATAATGCAGGTGTATGAAGTGGTGAAGTCTAAACCTGTATTACTCATAGCTTTTGGAAGATGAGAATGTAATTTGGGATAGATTGCATTATAGAAAAGATTATTACTTAGGGAATTCTATAGGAAATTTCATTTTGTATATATTGGTATAAAAATGAGCTTTTTGCTCATTTTAGCTTTCCTGATTGGTTGAATCAGATCTGTGTTGGTGAATCCAGCGAGAAGTATCAAGAAAAGGCAGAGCTGTTTTTATGCAAGAATTAAGGTCTGAGTGACTTCACCATTGCAGTATCTGACTGTAACTCAATTTACCCTTGTCAAGTAATTTACCTACCTTGTGTGTTCCACAGACGCTTCACCAGGCATTATAACAGGTATAAAAATAGGTATAAAAAGAGTCATTGTAGTAGTGTTACTACATCACCATTATTACACATGCATCTGCTCCTTGCTGGACAAACGCACAGAGCCACCGCAGCATACAGAGGTCTCGCTCCTCTGCACTGGTCTCTGTAGCTGTCTTGTATCTGGAGCGCTGAGGGGTGTCCTTGGGTGGTGTCTGTGTGGAACCAGTGTGGCAAATAGAGCAGTAAAACTAATAATCCTTTCTAAGGTTATTTTGTGGCAGCAGGGTGTGTCTGTGCAGGACTCCAAGGTGTCCACATTTCAGAGGTTTTCCAAAACCTTTTCAAAGGCCTCAGGACCTAGTGCTCCATGCAATACAGAGTTGATGGAGTGATAAATAGATAAGTGTTACCCATAAAGCTGCAGTGCCTACTGCGGTAATGGGAAGGCTAATGGTAGGCAGCCCAGGACTGAAAAACACTTATGTTCCAGTGTGGCTTTCAACTGATATATGTGCTCACACAAGTGACTCAGTAAAACAGCATGATTCTTTTTTTTAACTTATTTTTTATTTACTTTTTTTACATTGGGAAATTAACACTGTGATCCGCAACTTGTGCTTGCTTTTTTTAATAAAAAAAAAATCTGTTTTAAAAATTAGTCCAATTCTTTTTTTTTTCCTATGCTTCAAGGCATAATGCTTATATTTTGTTCCAAATTAAAGGGTGACAATGAAGTTATCATGCCCGAAGCTGATGTGTTGAATGCGGAAGAACAGACACAGCGAGAGGAGCCCCATAGTTCTGACAATGCACTGTGTAAGCAAAGCAGGTGAGGCTAGAGTCTTGTAAAATCTTGTTTGTCTGTTTGTTTTCTACCTGCTGTATAGGTACTTCTGCAAAATGTCAGTTCTTTTATTCCTTGTTTCCTGTCTTTCTTTAAGGCTTAGGTTTCAGTGCCTCCTGGCAGCTTCTTGCCATGTTTTCAGAGTTTAGTTTTAGTTGAATCGAACTACTTGTCGTTATTTATCTGATACAGTCTTGCTGTGTTTGAGCTCATATATCCTTAGACTTAGCTTTTCTTTTATGGGGTTTGTATTTCTGCATACAGTGATCATGCTTGTCATGCTCATAAATCTTGCAAAGTGACAGAGTTCTGTCTTTTATTGTCCCAGTGTGCTCTTCTATTTTACTACTACTTGTATTAAAATAAGATTTTAAGCATATATGAATTTGCAGGTTCATTGATGTTGGTGTAATTTGCAACACTTTTTTTGACAGGGAAAAAAAAGAGTTTAGACAATGAAATTTCCTTATTCCTTGTCAAATATGAGCATAAATACCCGAATCAGAAATAGATATGTTACAAAGGCTGTTTTATTGATTCTTTTTTTAAAAAAATACAAAACATAATGGTTTATCAGAGTTTCTAATCTTTTTGTGTGTCGATTCAGAATTTAACGCATGCAGAAATGTTTTCTTCAAAGTCAATTGACTTTTTTGTTTTAAATGTCCTAGTGTGGAAAAATCCATTTTCCCAGAAGACAAACTGGTTGCCCCCAAACCAGCACAACTCTTAAGGAATCGATTTCAGAGGGCTAGACCAAACCTAGGAAGAGGAAATAGCAAAAAAGAATCTCCAGTGGCTCAAAAACCTGCTGCTCCCGTTGAAGAAGCAGAAAAAGGAGAGAGTCTCCCTGTGGTAAAAAAATCCAAGGAACCCCTTTCCTCAAAAGTGAGAATTCTTTCCAGATCTCTGACCTAATCTGATACTAATCTCTGCACCAGCTACTCTTATGAAGTGTCTAAATAAGCTGCTCTTAAGCCATAAACAATAGTTTATGCTTCATCATAACTGATTCTCATCAGTTTTTGCCTGAGAATTATATTCTTGCTGGGATACATGCACCCTAATATGAGGTCTTTTAAAATTCTGTGTTAAAGATATCTACCTACATTTTTTTTGTTGTTAAAACTAAAGGCTCATCCTGTTCTTCCCTTAAATATTTCAGTGTGCATGATAAGTACTAGCTATGTGCATGGTGTATTTCTGTTGCTGGATTTCTTCTAAACACATTGGTGGACAGTCACAAAGGAATATGTCTAAAGGAAAAGGGAACAGTCCCATAAACTACTAGAAAAGTTTTGAGCAAAGTTTTGTTTCAAATTATTATCTAGGTTGTAACTTACAATGCTTTGTTTACTGTTATATTGTGTAATCTGCTATACTGTGTTGTCTTTTCCTCTAAATTTAAGGATGACGTGGAAGTATTGTTGTCTGTGGGGAATTTGGCTAAGAATGACAGTCCAGAGACAAATACAAGAAGCAATAAATCAGAAATATTCTCTTCCCCTGAAAAATTGCTGCTAGTTTCTCAGAAGAGAGAACAAGAAGATCATCTATCTAGAGAGGCTGTAGAAAGCATTCAGGATATCACAGAGAGGTAAAGTTTGCTGTTGATGAACTAAAATAAGCTCTTAAGAAAAAGAAAAAAGCCTTTATGGATTTATCCAGTTGTTTTCATATAGCACTTTTTCTGTATGAACTGTATCAGCTGTAAGCACTGCATCAGCTGTAAGCAATACCTGCCATGAAGGTCACTAGATGGCACTCCTTACAGAGTTTTAAGTGTATTTTTAATGGAATCACAGAATTTCAAGACCATTTGGCTGCTTAATTTTGGGGACCCATGGTGGTATAACTGAGGCTTTCAGCTGTAGCCTACTTTGTTGTTTCAATGCTTGTCCAAAAGCAAATTGAAAGGTCCATTACTGAAGAAAAGCAAATTATCTTTTTTTGTATTGCACTTTTCCTTCCATTAGTGAGTGGAGTTCAATAAATAAATTTAAAGTGAGAAAACTTGGGTCAATACCTGGGTGGATACTAAATATTTGTAAGCCAGGCTTGTAAAGTCTGTTTAATAGTGACTGAACACTAAAGTTAAATATCTTAATATTTAATAGGTCCAGTGATAAATTAAGTTCTGGAGAAAAAAGTAAATCAAGTGATACAAAACCATTGCATGAAGTGAGGGACCCTCTCTGGAAGCCAAGGTCAAACCTAATGACTGTTACTAGAGAGAGAGATCGTTCTGAAGGTGGAAGCAGAAATGAAGATGACAATGAGATTAGAAATGCAGGAGAATGTTTGATGTCAGAAAAAACGCATGTATCAATGGTAAGTGCTGAATGTTTAGTTTGGGAGAGTTTGTAATTTAAATCTTGTGCTTAGCTTCTTAGAACTCATGCAGAAACACAGTATGTGGATGTTAATGCAGTGTTTTTTTTCTTTTTTCTTTTTTCTTTTCTTTTCTTTTTTTTTTTTTAACCTCACCACTGGAAATGATATTGAATAAATCTACGCAGAGTCCCAGACCTGTGGGACTAGTTACTGTGTACCCTTCTTTCTAAGTCTTACAATTTATGTGGCCAGAGGTCTTCATTAGCATAAATACATGCTAACCTTGTTACAGCTGACATTATTTTCCTTGTTCAACACACACACACACACACACACACACACACAAAACAATTGCTTAATTGTCGAAGCTGTCAAATACTTTGTAAAATCTGTATAAGTATACTTACATATACTTACAGTTATTGATATACACCTGATTAGCCTGTTCAGGCTTCCTTCTTAAATTCCTTTGGCAGACCTGAGCTGGCCCAGACTGCTTCTTTCTGCCATTAGTTATCGTGTCTGAATCATGTTCCTTATTTTCTGTCAGGACAGCCAGGGATACATGCTATACGTAAACTTTTACTGATCAAGCAGGTACAGTACTTCAGACCCCACGCTCGCGCGTGCTCCCCGCCCCCGGAGTCCTTCTTTAATACTCTTCATCCTGTTCATGGCTGCAGGTTGGTTCGTGATTGGTCATTCTGTTTAGTTCGTCTTCGTTGACAACTTCCACGTCTTCACTTCCTTTAAGTTGTTTACTTGCTGCAGTCCAGGTTTTTCAGTCTTGTTCAAGGACATGGTAACTTGAGAAAGTCCTGGCTGTCAGACCAGCTGAAGGCCACTCGACCAGCTCTCAATCCCCACACCTCCCCCTTCTTGTTTTTCTATGACGAATGCGACATTTACCATCCACTGCAGGGCCCTTTGCAGACAGGATAGCAAACAAGGCAGCATCACTAATACCACTAACACCATTCCCACAACAGTCATTCCCATTTCAATCCATGTCATCATCCATCCTGGAACCCCCCATTACTTAGCCAATCGTTGAGCCCTTCAGTCCCTTGTTTGCTGAAGCCTCCTATGTATGCTATGAATGCTCACTGAGATTCATACAGCACATCCCATCAAAGTTTTTGCACCCATGCCCTTGCACTAACAGCAAAAAGTCTATGGCAGCCCTGTTTTGTAGCGTGGTGAACCGAATCTACATCAACTAGTAAGCCTGCTAAAGCAAGCATCGTCACGTGCATTTGTTTAGCAAGCCAACATCCTAGTTTTGCAAGCTTTTTATGAGCAGCAGCTGTACAGTTGCTTTTTCTCCTTGGGTGCTGAAGAACACCTGCACTGCCGTCCTTGAGGTTGGTTATCTACTAATGAGGCATCCTGTACTGCTGTCCTTTTGAAGCAGGCCTGCACATCTCCTCCTTCTTTATTTAACTACTGTACTGTCATAGCTAGTTTTACATGATCAAACAATCAATCGTTGAACACATAACAAGAAGCAAAGCAGACACACTAGCAATAAACAGAATAGGGTTAGTTCAATAATTAGAAACCTTACAACTTGCGTTGACATGGCTAAGCAAAAGGTTGTTTAGTTTGTCGTCTCCGCTCCCACGGCTTCTTGGTTATCAGGCCTTGCTTGCTGGACCAGTGCCTATGCAGTGTCAGGGTTAGTAGACTGGCCGTTTCAACATCATCTCCCATATCCCCTGTTTTTTTGTTTTGCATTTGCACTGGCAATACTTGCTTCAGAGCACGTTTAACAACAAATTGCATTAGCTGTAACAAACATGGAATACAAAGCATAATCCCGAAAAAGATTAGGAAAAAGAAAGAAAAGGAATAGCTACGAAAGCAGAGCCCTATTCGGCTGTAAGTCAACTCTTCCTTTGACTGACAGGTGAATCACAGCTGTTCCACAAGTGTGGCATATTTTGTTGGTTGACCCATTTCTTCAAACATGACTGCCACCCGCATTCTCTGTATCGCACTGTTAATTAATTGTACACCACAAGGAACTAAACAAGAAATAACAATCAGGAGGGTAATTGAGGGTCCAGCAATCTAAAAATGAAGGTAAAGTCCATTCACAAAAGTTGATTCGTCGGACCAGGTGTAGTGGATAATATCCTTTTCTGAAGGAGTCGGGGCAGTAAACAGGGAGATCTGCGAGACAAAATCTTATGCCATGGTTAAGCTTTCAATAATGAATTTTGTATGTTTTTTTTTTTTCTCATGCATCTAATTTTTCTCACTAATAACATTTTGTTGTGGGGACATGTTCTTGCTCAGGTTTCGTGATCAAGATGGTGTTAAGTTCCTTCCTATTTCCTTCCAAAGACATGGTCCTTAGCTTTTCTTAGGCGTTTTCTGCTCTGCTTGATGAATCTTAAAACACACAAGAGCAGCATCTTCTTATGATGATTTTGGGGGAGATGTTCAATCACAAGTTACTCATGTCAACAGCAGGCTGCGTGGCCTACATTCGCCTTCTAGATGGCCCTCAGAGAGAGGTGGCCATCACTCATATCAAGGTCTGGCATGGCATGTGTCCCCACCGCTTAACACCTAATAGGTTGCACCCAATAGTGGACCTCGAGGTTCTTGGTGGCAAACACAGAGGCCAACCCGGTCTTGCCCTTGACTATGGTAGAAGGCGCTTAGACTTTTCAGCTGGTCATCAAGATAGTACCTCACTTGCCTCATACAGCAGCAAGCTGCTATCCTAATGTACATTCTTAAGATCTTTTTTTGCCTCTGCCTTAGCCTGTTCTAGCAGCTGTTGTAACTCTGCACGCTCTAACATCTTTTACAAGGGACAAATTTGTGCCAATTGGGGTCATGTTTAGGCCATGATATAGGGGGTAGTTTCTAGCTAACAAGTGACATACACAAAATCTCAGCCTCTAATGATAGCTACATTGCAAGTGCACGTATGAGAGTCAGTAAACACAGTCGGGTTATAAATGTCATTAATTAGCACGTATTTACACATTGTTCTAAAACACACGCATCCTTTCCCTGCATTGCCTGCGTAAGGTAATACAGTTTTTTGTGTTACTCTCTGGATTGATCTCAAAATGGCACACGCCCTCCTTCGCATCAAAGCAAACATTGCTCGCTTTAAGGGCATCATCTTTGCATAGGAACTCCAGCCCCAGTTCTAAAATACAGGCTTCTAGATCTACCGAGTGCCGTGTTTTATCAGACATGTTTGCCCATATTTGGTGGTCAGGGCTGGGGGTGGGCAGGTAGAGCACAGATTCGTTGGTGTTAATTCCCAGGACTGCAATGGGGTAAACCTTCTCCATGGCGACATCTGCCATGGTCAGTATGTAGGCGATGACCACGCTGAGGAACTGGTCGTGGGTGAAGTTCACAGGTCTCCACCACACTTGTTCTTTCTGCATGGCTGCGTCCCCCGTGATCTTTCAGGTCTCAGGGGGGCGGTCTCTGTTGTCTCCATCTCTCAATATACCTGCAGCGACACTCTGCACCCATGTCTAGGCCTGGGTAAAACTAAAAGCGAAGGACATGTTATTTTGTTCCCCTGTCCAATGACAGGTAGTTGGATTGTGCAACCCTCCCTGGGGTAACCTGGTGAACATAAATTGTTGCCCCTGCCGCCCCTGCAAACTGATCCCAGTGCTACTCAGCAATGGGTATGGTAAAGAAAGCTTTAGCCAAATCAGTTACTGCATACCAAGGTCTGAAATGCTTCTGGATTTTTTTCTATCAAGGTGACAATATTTGGCACAGCTGTTGTAAGAGGCGGGATGTGTGAATTTAGTTCTCTGAAATCCACAGACATTTTCCATGACTTGTCACTCTTTCTGATGGGTCAGACAGGGTTATTCCAAGCTATGGTAGTGGGTTTAAAACTCCTGCATCCACTAGGTCTTTAATTGTCTGCGAAATATCTTCATGCCCCCCCAGAATCTTGTACTGTTACATAGCCATCAATTTAGTTGTGGCAGGAATCTGCACAGGGGGCATTTTACTTTTCTGACTAAAATTGTCTGGGCACTAATATAGTTCTTTGTTCCAAATTGGTACAAACCATCAGAAAAGTTCAAGGCAGTCCCTTTAAAATATCAATTCCAATTATATATTCAGGGACAGGAATAACCATAACTGAATACAATCATTTTGGGAGGTTCCGGATTTTCGTTTCTATTTGTGTTTGCAAAGCTTGAGTTAGTTCCCTCCCCCCGCCCCCAAAAAACCAGTGATAATTACAGACTGTCCTTTAAATTTCTTGGGTTTTCTATATATTAAGGAGGCCTCCGCTCCAGTAGCCATTGAGGCTTTTCCTAATCTCTTTTCAAGGATACAAGTCATCCACTGTTGGGGGGAGGTGAGGAAAGGCAGGGAGGGGGTGCAGTCTGAATTATTCCTGGCTTTCCCACTTTCGAATTCTGCACTTTCTTGTTGTGTTTATTCAGCCCTCTCTGCTTAGATATTTTACGCAAGAAAAACCTAAAGACCACAGACACAAACAGCACGCACACCATTTCTATCCAGTGGCAGGACCTCACGTAGTTGTGCACTCCACTAGTTAGTTTCACTGTCGAATCCCATTCTCGTCAACAGTTATGTTGCAGATAGGCTCAGGATTCAGCAATAATCACAAAACGAGGTGGCTACAGGGAGCCTTTATTCAGGTGAAAGCACATTACAGAAGCAGGATAATTACTCTTGAGGTAATACTTGCCAGCAGGATACTGAGACTGAACATCCTCTTGAGTTGGTGGATTAGAGGGTTGCTGACAGGCTCCTAACTTGGCGGGCATCCCTGCAGAGACAACGAAGGCCTCGGTGTCGAGAGTCTCGCCCCCCACCCCTCCACACTGTGTTTTTATGCCCGCTGCATCCTGCCACGTAGGGCCGGTACGTGCCAGTAGGCAAGCCAGGGGGCCGGCAAGCTCCGCTTTCAGTCACGTAACTCTCCCTCCTGGGTGCGCCTGTGCGCATGCCAATAAGGGGTCCCAGCCATCAGGCTGAGCATCCTGCCTTCCTCATCTTCTTCCTCCCTCTCAGGTGTTTGACCTTCAAACTAGTTTAGAGGACATCTGCAATTAAGTTGGCTACAAGCCGGGTCGAGCAGCTGCCTTCAACTGCTCTTGGAGGAGGTCGGATGTGAACCTGGCTGAGCAGCCGCCTCCATGCTCCTTATCGCTCAGCTCAGGTGGGCGAACATCTTCTTTCTCAAGGTCTGGGTTCTGTTTCGCACAATAGTTTTATGACTCTACAGATCATACAAATTTCCACCTCCTATATATGCCACCCTGTGATCTGTAGAGGTCAATCTATTGTAGCGAAGGACCTGAACAGATAATGTTTTCATAGCAGTTTTAACCATACCTCGTGTCAGCATTATTATACAAGAGATACAACACATAATACAGATGAACATAGCAAATAGAAATAATAGCCCTAATAACAGATTCTCTCCTCACTTAAAGCATTACAATTCTCCAACCCCTACTTTAAAATACGGATCAAATCCCTGGGCTGGATATCCTTACTCCTCCCGGATTTATCCAGGATATGGTGCATGACTGGCAGCGCCCTTTTGTGCTCTTTGGTCATGGATCCTCCCACAGTTCTCGACAGCTGGCTTCTACCTTGCAGATCTCCCTGCCCGTAGATGGAGCTTCTAAAGTTACCGGTTGCGTGGAATACATTCTCTCCCATCCGCCCTGTTGAGCTTGCTGCATCACACAATCTCCCCTGACTGAGACCATGACTGAAACAGGCGAGAACATGACCATCCCAGCCGCCGGCCGTGGCTCGCTCCCTCTGGGGCACGCGCCCTTCAAATCCCAGTCCAGATCATCTGGCAATGGGGGCACATCCTCCCCCCTCTCTTTTTCAGGCTGTAATGTCAGGGGTGGTGGTAAAGGCACCAGTGTTCCTCCCCCAGGTCTTCTGTAGGGTCCGGGGAGGCAGTGGGTTCAATCGGGGGTGGAGACTCGGCCCCTGCCGCAGCCGCTTGCGCCCCTCATATGGCCTTGAAGTGCTCCAGAGTGTCAACCAGCAAGTGCCAGGTGGTCAGCGCCCTCGTGGCCGTTCAATCACCGTTGGAGGCAGAGTCAAAAAGCACTTTGCCTGCAGCCTCGCATTCTTTTGGATCGAAAGCAGCCTGCGCATCCCCCTGCAAGCTTTTCCCTTTGCACCACAGTAATAATGTTCTTAAAGCAGTTTTATCATACTTGATCCCTCTTTTCAGCAGCATGCAATCCCAAATGTTCACTATAGCCTTCCTTTGTGTAGATGGGTTCGGCCCCATCTTTTATAGTCCCTGATAGCTCACCTAGTCACAGTCCAGCTGCGACTCCCCGGGGGTTCTTAGGCACTTCCCGCTGGAATCCTTTAGCTCTCCTCGCCAACCCTCAGCTACTGGGCACCGTCTCCGTCGAACTCCCCTCGGCCTGTATTTACAATATGTACAAGATCGCGTCAGGGTCATCAGTTGTTGGGACGTCCAGGGATGCATGCTATATGTAAGCTTTTACTGATCAAGCAGGTACAGTGCTTCAGACCCCACGCTCACGCGTGCTCTCCACCCCCGGAGTCCTTCTTTAATACTCTTCATCCTGATCATGGCTGCATGTTCTTCGTGGTTGGCTGTTCTGCCTAGTTCCTTTTCGTTGACAGCTTCCATGTCTTCACTTCCTCTTCGTTGGCAACTTCCACGTCTTCATTTCCTTCATGTTGTTTACTTGCTGCAGTCCAGGTTTTTCAGTCTTGTTCAAGGACATGGTAACTTGAGAAAGTCCTGGCTGTCAGACCAGCCATCTGACCACCTCTCAATCCCCACAATTTTCCAAATGGATTACTAGAAATTTTTAGCTACTGTATCATTTCTCCAAGTGCCCATAGTTGATGGAACTGCACTTACTGATATGCCTTCAATTACATGTTTTGAACAGAATCATGTAGTGCGTTCAAATGAAAGTTCTATCTCCATCCCAACCAATTCTCTTGTGAGAACAGCTCTGTAAGAACTTTGCCAAAGCAAACATTGTAGGTGAGCAAAATTTTGACACTACAGCTCTTGCATAAGAAGACAGCTTAGAAAAGAACCTCGGTCTTTGTTCTTTAAATCTATTTGTCACTAAAACCAATCGAAGTATGTTTGGTAGTATGGTAATAATTATTTCATCTGTTCAGCAAAGCGCCAGTCCCTTGGTGGAAGCTGCATCTTGCTCAGAGGGCTCAAGAAAACATCATTTTACAGACTCTGAGGAAACATCTTGTAAAAGAATCAGACAAGAAAATAAATACCAGTCTCCAGACATTTCATCAGAGAGTGAGAGTCAAGAAGATGATTCTCAGCCTTCTGCTTCTCAGGAGGAAATGTCAAGGTAAAACAACTAATTCTGACTTTGAAGCTCCACTGGTTTGGGTTTGTTTTTTAAATTTAATTTTCAGCCACAGTACTAAAACTGTATAGCACCTACAGGATGTCATTCCTTGCATCTCCCCCTTTTTAGGTACATATAGGTATCCCTGTGCCTTCTACCCTGTCCGTACTGTGATCAAACAAACACAGCCAGCACTCTCACCAACTCATCCTACCTTTTGTTCCACTCTGTAGCGCAGCAGTCTTGGCTCCTGGGCCCACCTTGCAGTGGTCCCAGAATTCTGGGCCACTGCAGAGTTCTGATTTTAAAGGTGAGGGCTTTCAGGTACCCAGAATGGGGACAAAGGCATTGTGGTAATATCCTAAATGAAAAGTCTGTGCTGGTTGCCTCTGCAACTATATTTTTTTCAAAGTGTTCATCCTCCTCACTTTGAGGAAAGAAATGGTAGCCAGTTGTTTCTTGAAGAGATTGCTGCTGTTGAAGAGAAACATAAGCAGACTCATAGTTACAGACTAATCATCCTAATTTCTAGACATAAATCCAATGAGCTAAAGTCTCAGTTTTTCCTAGTGTAGTCTCAGTGAAAGAGAATTGGAGATGTTCCTCTGATGTAAGAAGCATACAACTTCCAAGTCCATCAAATGAGAATTAATATACCTTTTCCAATCAAAGATTTCTGCAGCTGTAAATGGCACTATTTGTACAACTTTTCAACACTCACTGCTTAACACGTGTGCAATCAGCATTCTGTACATGACAATTGTACAACAACTTCTAATTAAGTAGTGCTTGGAGGCATTTTTCTCTAACTTTTGTTAGAAGGTGAGTAGATCACATTGCTGGTATTAGTGATCCTTTATCCTTTCTGTTCAGTGAGTTTGTATTGATTTTTGGTGTTCCTTCTTCCTTTTTTTTTTTTAATAGAGTTTTATGTTTACTTGTCTTTTAAACATGCTCTCTTCTGTGTTTCAGAAGGCAGTCCAGAAGATCATCTAAGCGGATAGCCTCAAAACGCATCATGGAGCTAAGAACTGCTTCTTCCTCTGCCTCTGAATGTGAGCCTGATCGCAGTGAAAAGGGGAATCAAAGGCAAAAAGTCAAATTGAATACTAAGGGCAAAACTCTGAAATACGCTCATAAAAAGAAATCTGATAAAGAGCACAGAAATTCAAAGACAACCTTGGTAACTCTCCGGGCTTCACGAGAGGAGGAGGAGGACGAAGAGGATGAGGCTGATGACTTTGAGCCAGATGATGAAGGTCAATGTTTTGCACCAGAGGAAGTAAACAAAGCTCCCGTGTTTGTTCCTGTAGGCCTTCGATCTCCAAAACCTGTTCCCGTTCAGATAGAGGAGACTATGGAGGAGGTATGATGCTGCTGTGACGTGCAGGTGTACTTCAGTTTTCATTTTTTAAGTCCATGCTTTTCTTAGAATTGCATCTCCAGGTGCATTTGAACAAAATGCTCCACTAAGCTAAGATCTAGCTCATGCTATGAATTGTAAAGCCCTGCAGGATGTTCACTGACTAATGCACTGGACTTGGATGGAGGCACAGCCTCCTGTGTTTACTGCGTGGTTTGAGACATGGATAGAAGTGGAAAAACTGGATCACTTCAGCTTTACATTTGAATGTTAGAAATGAGGGAGAAGTTCGTGCATAAAGGTGGTGTGGGTGTGTGTGTGTTCTCCTCCCTCCCATGTGAATCACTTCCCAGTCAAGAAATTTTGCCTGCCTGACAGCTTTATATAGCATTGTGTACTGTGTGCAAGTGAAAAAGGAACAGCTAGGTGTACGTAAAAGAGCAAGAGAATTGAAGGCTCAGCCAAAGCACAGAGGGAAACTCTAGAACAATAACGGAAAGAATTTGTTGCAGGGAGAGCTCTGCTGATTCCCTTCATCCTGAAGATTTGGACTATGTTAAGTGTGGGGATGATGTTCAAATTACTTGGTTTAACACAGGAGCCATCAGGGTAAGGGATGTGATTAGATACCAGAGAACTCATCTGTCAGATTTAAGCAGGTCAGTGCAAAGTACCTGTAAAAATGCAGTCTTTTGAAAACTAGCTGAATTGAGTAGTCTTTTTTTTCATAAGATATCACTGGCAGTAGTGCAACCTTTTTGTCAAATTCCAAGTCCTTGAGTTTCTGAAATGTAAAGCGACCAAAGTTCTCGATGGAAAAACAGTATTGAAGAGGAAAATAATACAGGCAAAACTTTATATAAAAATTCCTGTGCATACATAAATACTATACTTATATGCTTTCTCTTTGTGTGTGTGTATGTGTGTATACATGTGTGTGTTTATATGATTTCTCTTTGTGTGTGTGTGTATATATAAATATATTTTCATAGACATGTGTGTATCTATATACACAAACATATCTAAACAAATTACAGTGTATTGATAAAATTTTGCTACATACATACATGATATTTTCATAAACCTGGTTTGGAAGGTTAAACTGTTTTTTTCCTGAAGACTTAAAAAGTAGAAAATGTGAGAAAATCTTTTTGAGGAAGATAGTCAGCATGAAAAATACCAGCCAAAAAGCTTAGTTTGGTAGAATAATAAGCAACTAGAAATAAGGCCTTTTAGTTGTTTGCTTCCAATTACAGTCCTTCCTACAACTCCTTCCTTCTCAGATCACATGGTATGTACTATAGGACATCCTCTAAGTGTATCCAGCCTCTAAAACTTGTATTCATCAGATTTTCTTTTGAGGCTGATGAACTGAAATATTTTTAATCAAATTATTTTTACAGCTGGAAATATCTGCAAATGTCCCAGATGTGCAGGTGATTACTGATGTCGAAAGTCTCTCTCACATGTTTGTCCAAACAGTGATGCAGAAGGAGGAAAATGTGAAGACCTCACCACCCGTAAGAATGTCTCTCTTTTTGCCTTCAGAGCAGTTGCAAAACTGCATGGCCAGTTTCAGTTTAATACGCCTGCTTATAACACTATAGCTTAACAGACTCTTAACTATCCCCCACAGATATAAGAGGGACAAATACAAGCAAACTGTATAAATAAAATTGTTAACCTGTAAAATACCATTTTAAAATTGGAATAGTCCCTGTGCAGATAATTTACTAGTAAGCAGACTCATTTTATATAAAACTTTGATTTTTTTTCTTTTTTTTTTCTGCTTAAGGAAGCAAACATTCCTGAAAATCCAGAGGAGGACAAAGGTAGATATGAAGCAATGTTGTGCATGCCTTGCTCATTGAATTATTATTGTTACGTTTGTATTCTTGATAGAAGCTTAGAAGTTTATATATCTTAACAGAGCCCTGCTTATGGGATTTGGATTGTGTTTATGTTTTGGAGGAGGCTTAAAACGTTTACTTACTGTTCTCTGCCAGTCTGGTAGACCAAGCACTGCCGGGCTGTTTCCCAGGGTCAAAATGTGCCTTTGGTGTGTCCCTTGTATCAGTTTTACATATTTAGCTGTATGAGGAGAAGAGGAAACTTCTCAGATGTTTAAAGCATTCACTTGATGTGTGAACAGTACAAAGAATGAGTAGAGTTGTAGCTTTGTCGTTGGCATTTCTGTGGTCTCTGACTATGCTATCTTAACTAGTAAGAGAGTGGTCAAAGTCTTCTGGGAGACTTTTCTTTTTCATTAATGTCTTGCTTAAAGTTTCTACAGTAATTTGGACTTATTGGATGAGAATAGCTGTCTGTGTACAAGTATCTCGATCCATGAAAGAGAGTAATTTAAAAATATATATACTTCACTGTACTGATGATGTCAAATGCTTTTTGAATGTGGATAAGTGAATTTAGTGTTATGCATACTTGTGATTTTTAACCTGTATGTGCACAACTTTGTAGGAATTAATGATGGAAGCACTGAAGCTGCCATGACTTTACTTGCAATGGGTGATCCAACGTTTCAGTTAAAAATAAACGCTGAAGGTATGACCTAATCTATGGGACAAAGCCTTCCTTGTGCTTCATGGGTTTGCCTAGAGGAATGGAACAGTAGCTTCAGTTTCTTTAAACTGAAAAGTAGTGTTTTGTTTGTTTGTTTGTTTGTTTTTTCTTCACCTAATTAGCTGTAATTGGAATTTACTGGCTTTCTGGTTTTAGTCTAGTTTTTGGCAGACTGTTTGGATTAGATTTTAGAATTGGTTTTCATGGGGAATTATTAATCTCTGCCTCCTTACAACCAAAAACGGTGGCATTAAGACTGTGTTTAACTGGGATTTGCATCTTTGGAGAAAGCAGATTTTATCAAATGAGATTTGAAGTTGATCATCTGTGAACAGCTTCATGCAGTTACACTACCTGAGTCTTTTTAATTATACCTTTCTATCTTGTTTATTTTTCTAATCAGAACAGACACAGATGTTACCTGCTCAAGATGATTTACATGTAGCTGATAACTTTGTGAACCGTGTTTATTCTGAACAAAGCGTAGTTTCTTCTCAGCATTTACTTTCTTCACCTGCTTCTAACGTAGACCTGTTCCCTTCTGAGGATGGAAGCAACATTAATCTAGAGCACCAAAGCACTGACACAAGAATGGGTGGCAAAGAGTATTCTGAGAAAAATGCTACAGAGACCAGGTTAAATTTCTACCTTAATTACTTTGGAGAGGGAGATCCTCTGACACTGCTTACCTTTAGTGGGTTCTTTCTGGCATGCTTCTTGAATTTTAGATGTCTTACTGTAGTGAAAGTTTCTCAGCTTCCGTAATTTGCTGTGTAATCTGGAAAAGCCCTCTTGAATTTTCCTTGCTGCTTTTATGAGATATTGACATGTAATTTGGGGCAATTTGGCAGGGAAGAGAGGAGTGTTAGAACTTGGTTCATATGGATTACTGTTCTGTTAACTCGGCCCATTTTCTGAAGGCACTAAACAACTAGTATATTAAGCAACTAACTAGGCCAAGGCAAATTGCTTAAATCTCACTGTTGCCATGGGCTCTGATTCAGAGCATGCAAATGTCAAGGAACTGTTTGAGTTTCTAATTTTGTTTTCTAATTTTGCTTTTAAAATATCAGCAAAATTTGAAAGAGCATGCTGGAACACCTCTTTAGAAATATCAGATTATACTTCTCTGAAAAATTATGATTAAAGATCCTTTGCTTTGAGTTTTGTGGCTTTTTCGTTATATTATTAACCAGAATTCTGGTTAACCTGTGTTCCACATCTCCTATTTTCTGTCTGTGCAGCGATCTTTGCTGAAATTACTAATTTCATCACACTGCCAATTGTCAGAATTGAGAATTATATTGATGATATTCTCCTTTTTACCTGCAGTGATAGCTCTGTGCCTATGGTGAGCAGTGTAAGACCAATAAGCAATAGACTCCTGATGCCTGAGCCAGACTTTGGAGTATTGAGGTCAAATGAGAACATTATTCAAAATCCTGTTAATACAAATGTACTTGTGGAAGAATTAGAGCAAGTTCAAGATGGTAAGGCCGTCTCTTACCCTAAGGTTTTAAAAGTGGTTTCTGGTGATAAGTTCCTTATCTGTTTATGAAATAAAGCTAAATGAAAATTGAACTCTACTTTATGTTCATTGATGATGGATAAGAATTGAAAAAGCATTTATGGTAGAACTTTATACATAAATATGCCTTTTGGTATAAAATTAAATGAAATTTGCATAGGGCCTTTCTGTGCAGGCCTTAAGGCAAGTTACTTTCCAAATAATTTAAGTGCCTCGAATGGCCAAGACAGAAATAGTATAATACAGTATGCTTTTATTCTTTCATTAATGTCTTTCTCTTCCATATATATCTCCATAGATATACATATGCACATTATAGATATGTTATTTTTACATATATAAATAATAGTTAAAATATGTGTGTGGGGATGTATGTAATATATATGTATTTGTTTCTAAATCTTTAGAGGCCACAGTTCTGAGGCATAATGCAGAAATGCAGAAGGTGGAACTAGAACAGGTCAGACCAGCTGAAGGTGATTCTTTGGATCTTCATGATTTTGCAGCTGAAAGTACACAGCTTGTCAAGCAAGTAGATATAACAGAGAGGTATGAAGAAATCATCAATTTACATTGAATGTATTCTTAATGTTTCTTAAAATATGCAGCTTAAGTACATGTGGTAAAGTGTGAAATGGCTTTGGTGGAAACTATGCTTACAGCAATGCTGTGTATTAATGCATACAGTTTTACAATATAGACTATTTTTAATAGTTTAAACTTTCTTGCATGTTGTCATACAGCTTTTAGAAATAAAACATTAGCTTGTGTTTGCTATTTCATTTCTTAGTAATCACCTTGTTATTTCATTGTCTCTGGTAAAACTGCATCTGAAGCAAAGTTAAGGATATGTTCACAGAGAAACTGAGCACCTCTTCAAAAACTAATTCTCTGTGACTATGTAAGCTTAATATTAAATAATACTTACACAGAATTTATTCCATGTCCCAGAATGATACGCTCAGTTAGTTTCATATTGCCTATTTTTATCTTTCAGAACAGAAAATGCAACTTCAGGGGAGTTACAGGCTCTGACTGCATCGTCAAAACCTAAGGCCTTGGAAATGGGACAAGAGCTTTATCCAAGTCAAAGTTTGGCGGATGGACTTCCTGAGCACAATCCTACTGCTGCTGAGCACAGTCTGTATACAATCAATTTAACTCAGGTAAAGAACTAAATTTTACTAGTCTGGAGGTGCCCAGTTTCCGAAACTCTGTATAGGAAGAGGTTCTCACTGCAAATTTATTCACACATCTATTTTACAGACCTGGTATTCTAGCTGGGGAATGAAAGTTCTGTTTTTTCTTTAGGCATAGTTAATCATTCAGGCGAAGTCTGTCTTCTTGAGCTTTAATTTATAGCATTACAGGGCTACAGTGATATATACAAAAAAAAACTCTGAATATTTTTAGGAGAATTCTGATGAAAGAAGTTACTCATTTTTATTAGTTACTACCATCTTTACATTTTCGTAATCAACTTCATTTGTTTTGCTTTAAACAAACTTTGCTTTCTTTAAAACAAATCTTGGCAAAACTAGATTTTAATTCTCATATTAAATTAAGTGGTTAGTATATAACAAAATATCCCTCTAGGGATAGTTTAAAAAAAAAAAGATATAGCTGTTGAATGTATTCTAGTCTGAAAATGGCGTTTTTGGTATCCAAGGCTCTTAAGATTTTAACTCTTTTACCTGTAGCTATTTATTTGTTTTCCATTCTTACTGTGCCCTTTCTTACTCGTTTCAAAACTGGAGAACTTTGTTTGTCTCTGATATCTGTATTTCCATTGCTATCCATTGCTTTGTGGTGGCTTGTGTAGTATATATGGCTGCACTAGTATGGATGAGAAGTGTCTTCTCTCCTCATGAGAAATAGGTTCATTTTGCTGCAGGTTTTCCAGTGTTGCCTGAGGTCAGTGTCTGCACACTAATGGATGGTAGCTTGTTTTTTCCCCAGTGCAATCTGCTGATATGTCAAGGCTAATCTCGATTTAAAACAAGATACAGGAATGACGAATTAGCTGGAAACAGGACCAGCAGTCAATGTGAAAGGAGGCAACTTTCAATTTATTTATTTACTTATTTATTTTTAAGCAATATCATGTGCCATGAAAGGGATGGGATTGATCCAAACAGACCTCGGAGTTTTTTTTCTGGCACTCAATATTTTTTGTAATAGTTGAGGGAATTCGTGTTCTTAGCACTACTGAGCAATTTATTGGGTGAGTCAGCTCTGACAGAGCTGTGCTCTGCAAAGCACTTTTTTCTTTTTTTTCTTTTTTTAACAAAACATGTTAAACAATGAGTTGCATATAAATAACATACAAGTACTGCCCAAGGGTTTCATGTCAGGCTGGTATCCTTTAACCTAGAATAGCCAGAGGTAAAAGTTGACCAGTTGCAATGATTATGATGTTACTAGATTTTCTGACCTTTCAAAATTTGTCACACTTCGTTTCTTTATTGTTTTCTTGAGTGACTTCTACGATCTTCTGATTTGTTTTATTGCAAATGTTATTTCTAGAACGAAAGATGTATTCAGGATTTTCAACAGCAATATACAACCAGCACAGAAGAGACTTCAGGTATAACGTGGTAATATTCTAAGTTAACAATATGACATGTATTTTGTAACCACACAAAGATACATCAGTGAGAACACTTTAATTTTTCATTCAGTTTAAAACAGTCTACCTCGCTAACCAAAAGAATGATCCATGGTGAAACGCCCCAGTGATTCTCTTCACTAGCTTCTTTCATTGCCACAAACCAGACTCAGTAGGTTTTTTGAATGGTACCTCAAGTTCAAAGATCAGTGGAAAGAAACTCATTCCTCTTTTCTCCCTGCTGTGAGCTCCTGCGTCTTACCTTGTGCTGGCTTCAGCACTTGTGGGCTAGAGGCTCACAGAGGTCTAACAAATTTGTCAGAAATTGAAGGTGGAGTGGCAGAGTGAGAGAAAGAACCCGTGTAGTTTTCCACAGGCTTAGGGAGGTATAGTGCCTAATGGAATTGTCCAGGGAGTGCCAATTACTGCAGCTGTGTGGGTAGGAAGGTAGGACTGTGCCAATAAGGAGCAGGAAAAAAGGAGAAGCAGAGAAGAAAATGGGAGAAAGAAACCAAATCTTCCTTTTCAGATGTAGCAAATCAGGGAAGCAGTTCCTTATTGACTAAAAGTGATAAAAGCTACCAAAATGATAGGTTTTACATAAAACACATTTAAAGGGAGGTGTCTCAGAACCAGTATTTGACTAAGGGATGGGAAAATCATTGTGCCAGAATCTCAGAATACTTGCTTTAAAAAAAAAGGAAAAAAAAAAAAAAGGCAATCTTCCTGCCAAATGTGCAACCTCTGAGGATGCACAAGAGGCAGGGCTAGTATTTCTTCTAGGTTGCCTGTTTTTATGCTCAGTTGTTGCAAGGGTCTTAGGAAAGAGCTTCTTAAGTCATCTTTAGATAAAGAACCAGAGTGAGCTGAAGTTAGAATCACAGCTTTAAATCAGCAAAAGAATAGAGCTGTTTTAGCTAACTGAGCAACACTCTGACTTTTTGTCTTTTGAAAAGAACTTTAAAAATATTTTCTTCTTAAATTAATTCTAACAGATGGTGATTGACAGTTAGCTGCTAATGTCCACTTGTTGGTAAATTAATTATACTACTCATTTTTTAAATTATGACTATACTTTTCTGTTGGTTCTCTTCTGCAAATCAGTAGTAAGGGAAAAAGGACCTTGGGATGATTGACCAAACAGCAGACTCCTCTACTGCTTTGAAAAAGTTACTCTTAATCCCTGGCAATATTCATTAGACAGCCATTTAACCACTGTTACACAAGGGTAATTAAACTGCAAATTGATCTTGAATGCTAGAACTCCCATTTAGAAAAAAAAAAAAAAAAAAACTTGATTCCTACTAGGTGTTCTTTCTCTTCAGTTTGAATGATAATTGGGACTCTCTTGCATGAGACCACAGTGGGAAGTGATTGGTACCTCCTCAAAGAAGAAAGGAAGCAGACTGTTTCCAAGACATTGCCAGGCCCCCTTTCTCTTGAAAAATGAGCACCTCATTTCTAGTTATCGTAGGTGGTGTGGGCATAAAAAAAAATGACCAGTGTCATTTTGCAGCTTGAATGATAGGCTTTTTTGTTTTTTTATTTCCCTGAGAAGTTACAGTTGTGAATGATAATCACAGTAGATGTTCAGAGGAGGAACAGACATTCATTTTAACATTGGTGGAAATTCCAGCTGACTCGAGAGAATATGATGATGCATCTACTTTGCTGGAACAGACTTCAGAACCTTTGCTACCAGCCCCGATACTTATCAGCCCAGTCAGTGCAAGTGGAACAAGCATGACTGGAGTGGAGAGGTAAATTGATTTAGTCGTGAGCATCCTAGGTGAAACGTTTTTGTGAACCTTGGATTTTTCTTGAAGAAAATTTATTGTGTAAAACTTACATGCATTAAAGCACATTATGCACATTAAATTCTCTAACTTAAGGTATCAACGAAGTGCTTCTTGATGATAAATGGTGCATTTAAACTTAAGCATTGGCATTAAGAAAGAATATCACCAAAAACCCATGCCTAATTGTCAAACAGAAATATTTTACAAAGTAAACTTAGGGGATTTTTTTTACCATCACAATGTGTTTTTACATAAACAGCATTGGATCCTTGACAACTGCAGTTGATGAACTTGCTGCATCTTTAGATAGCAAGATGGAAACCAAACAACTACAGAGTGCTCCAGGAGAGTCCATTCCAAAATTGGTGCAGACAGCTCAGAAAAGGTCAGGTGCTGAGCTTGAAGAGGATGATTTTCCTCCTGCCAAGAAAACCCTATCTACTTCAGCAGAAGATGACCTGGAAAGCACTTCTGAGGTGAGAAGATGTTTGGGAATATATTTTTGTATATAGATGCACACAGCATGTGATGGAGTACTTGCGCCTTGCTTAAAAATACAATGTCTGCTTTGACAGTTGACATCTACAGATTGCTGATTTAGAAACATACAACAGTTTTGGGACTGTTGGTTTTGTGGGGGCCGGAATTGTATGCTCAAAAGTTTGGGGTTTGTTTGTTTTGTTTTATTATTTTTTGTTAGGCTTCCCAGTTGACATGCTGGTGATATGTCCATTGACTGGTTCCTTTAGCACAGGCTTTCTGACAGTGATGTTGCAGGAGGGGGAACCCTAGGTACATGCTGCATGACTGGCGAACTGTCTAGATTGGCTGAGTGATACTGTGGATCCCAGTGCCATCTCTCACAGGAAGTTGTTGTTAGATATGTTACTACTGTGTAACAGCCATTGGTCTAAAACAAGCTGCAAATACAGACTGGCCAGCCTGTTTCCAGCTTCCCACTGTGCTTTTTCAATGTGATCAGTCTCACAGGACTGATTGCTATTTATTTTGCAAGTAGGCCGAGTAGTGTATTTTGTGACGGAATGGGCAATAATTCCCCCACGTGATTGAGAGAGCTTCTCTAGAAAGGATTGGATAAAACATTTTTCTTCCTTTTCTAAACTCTCACCTTCCTGTCTTGAGTCATCTATCATGAAAACACCTTGATAATCTGCTCAGGAAATGACTTAAGTAATGCCTAATACTCTACCGAAGATGTTTTCTTCTGTATCACTCCTGTTCTTAGAACTGTGCATGTGTGCACAGTTGTGAGTTTTTGTCAATTTGCACTGTCTCTTGAATGGCAAGAGGAATAACTTTTTTTTTTTTCTTTTTTTTTAAATACAGGATTATTTGACTAAATCCACAGATTCTCCAAGGAAAGCTGCTGGTAGGTGAATTCAAACTTCTAGAAATAGAGTATAATGCATATAAATGTGTAGTACATCACAATTTACTTTTTTTACTGACTCTGATTTGCACTTAAGATATTCTTAGAAAAAAAGTTGGAATTTTGGGGCCCAACACTGTATTTTCTTACATAAAGAAAAATGCATAAATATATGTATGAATGTGTATATACACATTTTCTATAGACCTATGAAATGAAAATATTAACTACTTTTAACCACAGCATACCAAAATGTTATCTATTTTATTTCATATTTGTCTTTTGAAAATACCTACACACTGGAATTTTATGAAGCTTATCTGCCCCTGAAGGCAGGGGGTAACCAGTACCCTTGGCAATATGATCTTCAGTGGTGTGAGCCTGTGAAAGTTTTGGATAACTACTTTTTTGGTCCTTACTTTAAAGAGGAATTGTGGAAGCTTAACAACCCAGGTGACTGGACTGTGTGGTGTGTTGTAAAGGGTTGACACACTATAAAGCTGCACATCTGTGAGATTTCAAGGTTTACTTTTGAAGACTCTGAACTTTAAACTCTTAGTTATGCTTAAAAAAAAAAAAAAGCTTAAAAAAAAAAGCCCTCACTTGTCCCCACTCCCACATGCCTGCACAAACTGGACAGAAACTCTGCTCTTCTCATACAATGATGTAACTCATTTTAACCTGTCTTTTAGACCACCGTATTATTACTTGAGGATAAACAATTGAAGTTATTGAATTATTCTCAACTCTACTTACAGGGAATCTTCTTGAAAAAGCAGGAGCTTCTGTAAAGACAGAGGTACTTACCTCTGCATTTGTGTCCGCATCTGAGTCACTGCTGGTTGGAAGAAGCCAATCTGAGACTTTGCAGGATTCAGGGGCAGCATCACTGGGGAATTCAACATCCAGACGGGAAGAGGAAGTGGTATCTAGGCTAAACTCTGAGAGAAAAGCCGAACTGAGTGATCCAAGCAAAACGGAGAATGTGCACGAATCTGCACAGCTGGAACTCACTGGGAGCGTAGCTGCATCTTCAAAGCCTCCATTACTCAGGTATTTATGGAATAAAGGTTTGTCAGCCTTTTTCTGTTAGAGACTTTGTTTCCATGTTGGGTTTTTGGTGTCTTTTTTCCACTTAGTATTGCAAGAAGGACAGTACCCTTGTTTGCCACCTACACAGTTGAGAATTATTGTATCTATCCTCTTCAGCAAATTAGAAAGGATCAAACTGTCTGCTTGGAAATTTGAAGTATTTTAGTCATTAAATGACCAGATTGAACAGGGGACACTGCTGATCTATGGTATGTTTATTTAGACACTGACAGATGCTTCCTGTGAGGCAGACATTTGTTGGCTATGATATGGATTTAGGATTACTGTTCTCCTTAGCTCAATTTAATACTGTAATATATATATACACCTGTCCACTTGTTTGGATTTTTGTCTTCCTGTCAGTAAGATTTGTTATTGGTATAGTACTCAGTATACTGGATTTTTAGGACTAACTTAAGATGTAGTATTTCCCCAAAGGAGTTAGAATCTTGACAGCTCAGAGAATCTCTGTCTTTCTGTCTGTCTCTTTGGATGCATTTTTTTAATTTACCTTTGTCCCTTCCCTCTAGTTTGAGTTCTTGCTCTCTGTTGCTGTTGCGCTTACTGGTTTCGACTGTGGTGCTCCCCTGCTGTCCTCATCATTTCTTCTCCTTCTTTTTCATTGTTCTTCTGTGTCTAACAAAATTGTGTTATTTATACCTGGCATTATTTGTAATAATGCACCAAACATTGAGAATCCTTGCTTCAGTTTACTTCCTGGGTTATAAACGCCTTGACACTGTCTGCACTGCCCTCATAAGTGTGACTGCTTTCCAGTTTGTGCATAATCCAACACAAACACACTGAGAGGAATATTGTGAGCGGACGGAAAGCAGCAGCAGAGAGTTTTCTTTCTTGTGTCTAGGACAGTTTTGTGTGGTTCTGTCCTTGAATGAGGAACCATTTTCTGTTAGTTACCAGAGGAAGCTCTTTTTAGGTCTTTCTTTAGGAATAAATTCCTTCCACTTGGAATCTTTTTCTAAAGATCTTGTTACAGGCTTTATCTTAGTAGCAAATGGTAGGTTCCTGTTGTCAGGGTTGGAGATTGCAGAGAGCTTCTGTAACTCTTCAAAAACGTGTCTTGTGCGAGAATATTCAGTAATGCAAAAGTTTTCCTCAAAATAAGAAAATATTTGAGGTTTGTATTCTTACTCTTTGTAATTTTATTTATTTTTTATTTGAGATGTTTGCTGCTTGTTGTGTAATGAATCGATCTCCTGTAACACTCTTTACATCTTGCTTTGTAGATATCCTTATGTCATTCTGACTGTATCTACTTTTAACAGGGGTGGTCGAAAGCCGTTGGGATTTTTATCTTTAATTTGCAAAAAAAGTAGCTCCGAATCTGCAGAGGATACCAAAGGGAACAGAGGGAAGGTCCAGAAGCCTCGGGTAGTGACTCCAAAACGAGGTCTAAAAAAACTTACTGTGTCCAGTGAGGCTGATAGGGAATCCTGTTCCCTTCCCTCTGCGAGCACATCATCACCTGCAGAATGTGAGAACACGTCTGCTGATGCTGCAGTTGAGGTACGTGTGCACTTGTGAATGTCCTTCCATCCTGGGATGCAAAGAGCACGGGAGTTGTCATTTTAGGGGGTGGTCAGGGAGGTGGGCAGCATTCCAAGTTGAGAGCAGTAACCCTGACCTTGTGCATATCTAGGAAACTTAGAAAATAGTTGCTTTTTCTGTTCACATGTTTATTAATGTTTGATATCTATGACAGCTGTGGTGCATTTTTCTGTTGTTACTTCAGCAGAAATTGCACAAGATTTGTGCATTCATCCAAGACTTGTGTGGTGCTGTGAGGGCTTCTACTGGTATCAGTGCTTATGTGCGTGGGTCCTGTGAGGTTGTGTGTCTTGGAATTGGTAGTAATGGTTCTTTGCTTAAACTGATTCACACCAATTCAGTGAAGTCAAATAATGGGGACTGACTATTCACATATATGGCTTATCCCAAAATATTAATCAGTTTTCCCTGAGGAAGTACTCCTCAACAAAGAAGAGGGAAGCAGTCTGCTGTTTTTCAGTAATCTGAAATCTGAAGTTTGTGTCTGAACCTCTTATCTAAATGGAAACTCAAGTTTGTGTCTATATTAAAAACACATAGTACATAGATTAAACATAATGTACTTTTATATTTTCTACATAAAAATATATAAAAACACAATATTTAATATAACAATATATAAAGATACAATACATAAACACAAACAGGTAAGACTGTTAAGAGCAGCCCTTTCTTTTTCTTGCAGATTCCTGTTAACAAGCAACCCGAGAAGCCATCGCTTCAAGCTAAAGATCAAGAAAAGGAAGAAGCACCAACCAGGATCTCTGAGTATTTTTTCAGTGACATCTTCATGGAAGTGGATGATTCAGAATAGCAAAATGGCTTTATACAATCCTGGATCCAAAAGTGCAATGCAGCAGCAAAACAGTATTTAGAAAATTCCTATTCGTTGTACCATTATGTCAAACTTTCTATCAGCCAAGCTGTTACAATCTTTGGTAAAGATAAGATTATCTCTGA